TATATGTAGAATTATGCGATCGATACGATGGAATACCTTTCCAAATTTGCACAATTATTGAAATATTTTTTTTGTATTGTCATCATCTTTGTTTACGATTTGCTTGTGTTGAGTGTGTGCGTTATTATCAATAAGTAATTATTATCAGAGATTTCTCTAATCCCGAAAAGATTCAGGACCTAAAAAATATTGTCTTAAGGCAGTCTCCACTTTCTGTCTCTGTTCCTCGAAAATACTCTACCTATTCCAATCACTGGTTATTATGGTAACATTTTATTTTTTAGTCTCGAGTTACACCATATCTCGGAGTGTACTATGTATATCTTTCTAATTTGTAAAGGCGGCGTCCTAGTCACAACTAGTTACATGTGACTTTTGTTTTACATAAACGATAATATATTTTTTGCTTTATAGATTGCCTTTAAGTTATAAGCGATACGCCCTACTACTATCAATAATGGGTGGATCCATTATTGATAAAGTATTTGATTGGGGTGGATAAAGTATTTGATTGTTGGTGGTATAATTCTTCACTATGTTATTCTTTATCCTAGTCAATTTTTTCCTGTACCTTGGTTATGTATACGATTGACAAAACATACTATATACGTAACTAACACTATACTTACTTTGTCGTTGTATACGTAGATACGTATATACCTACTAAGTATAGTACATACATATTATTATACTAGTAGATACTATATTATTACTAGATATTAAGATACTACATTATGTAGTAAACGGTTTTACACTTATAGCTAGGTACACTTTAATACAACACATTAATAGCCTTTAGAAAATAGGTAACGTAAAAGACACCAAATATTGTCCAAAAAATATATTTTATTGTAGTAGACAACACGTGGATGCGCGTCCGGTGCCCAGCCCGCCCCGTGCGCGCGTCCCACAACAACACTTCGCTATCTACTTCCAGCTCTCTGTTTTATTAATTGGAATTTTATTTAATAATTACAACACTTTTTTATGTTCGTATTTAACTTAGGTATATAACTAACTTCGTCTTGTATATAACTTGGTGTAAGAACAGCCTTCAGGAATTGAAATAGGGTGGCGTAATACACGCCTCACAGCACTGTTTCCATTTCTACTCGTGTCCGCTCTCTGAAATATAAACGTAAATATAATACTATCGTACTTATACCGAAATGTTATTTCGTGAGTATCGCTCAAGTTGTAAGGACCTTGCTCGTAAATCACCGCAAGAAAGCGGCCTATCGAGGTCGGGCAATAAATCGGCAGGTGCCTGCAGCGTCCTTGGGTGTGTGGCGTCGTGCAGTTCTCCGCCAGCAAGTAGAGTACCGGCCGACGCAAGCCGGCGCGGCGGCGGCGCTAGCCCGTGCGCCGCCAACGTCGCGGCCAGATGCCGCGCACGGGACACAGCCGTGTCGCGCTCGTGCTGAGCGCGCCATATCTACACATTCAATCATAAAAAGGTAAAACTTTGATTTATCTTTATATCTTGATTAAATGAAAGAGACACACCTGCGCGGCACAAACGGCAGATCGACAGCGCCCCCGATGTGCCGAACCGAAATCACGCGCCGCCGCTTCTACGATGGCGCCGTCAAATGATAGAGATTGCCCTAAAAGACAACAGGTAAGTGTCGGTTTAACAGACTAGTGTCCACTTGCACTAAGCCTAGGTACGCCTTAAACCGATAATTGCAATGCAAAAGACACTCTTAATGCATGGTGTTAAGAGTGTCTTATCAATTTAAGCATTGGTTTAAGACATACTTAAGTTTAGTGCAAGTGGACATAGGGGTCGTATTCCAGAACTCTACTCAATACTCAAGTCAGGATTTGAGTATTGCAGTGAACACTGAAAATCATACTCAAGGCCTTGCCCTTAGGATTGTATTTCCAGTGCTTGATACCATACTCAAGTCTGCTCAAATCCTGACTTGAGCATTGAGTAGAGTCCTGGACTACGACCCTTAGTGTACAATGCTCTCTCGGTTACTATGTACTAATCCTCACAAAATATAAACGTCAGAGTCACACGCCAAGAAGAACAGACTAGGCCACATAGGTAGGTAACTAAAATGAAATGAAATATACCCATTGAGAGCGAAACGAGCGCACAGCATGAACCCGCAGTCGAAGTTGCCAGGTGTTCGCGCATGTACCGAAAATAGACATGCTCGAGCAGCAGCAACAGCGCCGCCAGCAAAATGCCTGCCATTAGCAGCAGGAACGCAGACAAAAACTGCTCCAGAGCCAGCGGGTCCGAAGACTTGTGCTCCTGTTTATTCGGCTTGCACGTGCCGGTCATCCAATATCTAACACGACAAAAAATATTTGAATGAATAATTAGACCTGAACATAAAGTATTATCACTGAAAATGGCACTCACCTTCGTAATCTTTCCAGGTCGCCGTTAGATCTTAGATCTAGTAGTCGTTTATTAAACATACTGAGGTATTTTGAGTTTCGCGTGAATGCTAACCCGTAACCTGTCATGGCATACCAGGAGCCTACGGTTAGGAGTCTGCAATCTTCATCCTGTGGAAAATCAAAACAAATGTGAATTTCTCATAGAAGAATATAGAACTGAGTACAAAGTACAATAATTATCAATTTAACTGTGTGACTTACTTGTGATACTAAATAATCGAGTACAGTGCCATCATAAATAAATGCATCGAGTTCCCCTGTTAAGACACTCGTCACAGCAGCGCTTACGGTACTTCGATTGTGCCTAAAAATAAAAATTTTAATTAAAGATTAAGATTGAAGTTCAGAAACTAAATATACATATTGATTTTTTTTTAAATATGCTAAGTTCAGGTACTCACCGTCTCATGTAGGCGTGGGTTTCTGTAAAATATTTAGCTAGTGTTGCATCAGTATGTGACCACGGCACGGTACCAAATTTGAGTGGCGGCCTCAACGTCAAAGGCCGCGCAATTCGTGGATCGTCTAAGCCACTTAATTCGTGAAATTCTTCTCTTGTGATCATAAACGCCGCTAAATTGGCAGTATAAATGGCAAGAAATACCACAGCAAACATAGCCCACATGTTCGTCATGAATCTGGCTGTAAATCCTCGCGGTGAATCAACGTGGACTGAAGCCTAAAAGGTCGTAATATGGGTTACTGTAATACTGTAGTACAATCAGCAACAGATAGATATATACAGTTTTGACTTCTGAGAATTAAGTTTTGTCATAAAATCCTAATTTCATATAAAATAGTGGTTTTCTTAATTTTAGATTTTAGTGATCTCTTCTCAATATTACTGTGGTTAATCGAGGATATCTTTTCACGACTCTCTAAAAAAGCTTTAATTTTAGTTACCAATCGGCTCTAAATTTTGGATTTAAATCTCTCACCCACCTGAAACAAAACAGCCCACACTATCCAGTACGTCCGACAAAGTGAAAAGCGGTTCTGTGGAAGGCGTTTTGAATTGGACCCAGTTGAGCAGTCGAATCCACTGGGCGATAACCACTCGAAGAAAAATATAGAGAAAGTAGCCGCTTGTATAGCTACGGCTCCCACTAACATCCAAGATGCCGTATCGAAAGGTTCTAAGAAAGCCGTCGGAGAAATAATGCCAGTTCGTTTGGCTACGACAATTGCTATGCCCGTTTCCATAAACGGTATGCTGAAGTCCACCACTGCTTCTCGATCCGAATTTATTATTAGGGATGTTAATACCTACAACAACAAACGTCTGATATATATAAACAAAAAATATATATTTAACCCTTTCATGGATTTTATAAACTGTACCACACACGAAAATATCAATACTTTTCTTGCCGTATGTAGTGCTATTGATTGAATATAAAATGTTCAACGTACTTATGTAAATCATTGAATTTTGTCAGGACGTTGTTGATACTTCTCTGTGGAAAAGCAGTAGGCGACAAATGCATAGAAAGTACTTGGAAATAGCACTGCAAAGTCCGCAGTTGGTTATTTGAGTTTCATGTACAGCGAAACGGGGAACCCCGTATTATAATATACAATATTTAATTTTACGATAAACGTCGTTACTATCCATGAAAGGGATAAAAAACTTGCGTAATTAAAACATGGAAAAACTTAATCTTTAAAAGGTATTTTATTCACCATATCAGTTTTCTTGTTTATGAGATCTGCGATCAGACCATTCCATTTTCCGTTCTGCAGCGTTCCCCAGCGACCGTCCTCAACCCGTGAGAGTTCATATGTGAAACCTAGTTGTTCAGCTAGTTGCGAGAGTAGGTCTATACAAAAACCGCTGCAGCATTGGTACAAGGAACTGTTTCTGTGCGCAGTACCGGCTTCCAACCTGTCGCAGTGAAAGAGATATAAATTGTATAAGTTTCTTACTTCTGGGTGATTTTAACAGAGAAATCGGTGGGTGATTCTTGTCTGGGGGTGGTCTTTCCAGATGTGTTGAAAGTGGGTCGTATACACAGACATATATCTAGATAGACGCCGCAAGAGTGCGTACTTCGCGTGCCCAAAGTAAGTGAAATCCGCTGCTACACTTTAGAACGCGCTCGACCGTTATCGTAGGTAAATACCGGTCGAAAACGCGAAAAACGCATAATTGTCCCATTATAAACGGCCAATGCACCATGATTGTGGGTAAATTGGTAAACAGGGACGTTTCCTTCCACGGGCAAGTGATTTTGTAATCAGAAGATGCATAATTTATTTTAAAAACATTATTATTTTGGTTTTGTATAAATTTCGAGAAAACAAATATGCAACCGAGTGTATGCCTTATGTTTGTAATACATTTTACTTGGTGCGATATATTTGTGATCCTTTGTTAATACGCCATGAATATCGAACGAACGCACTTTTGTGTAATACATTCAGTTTCGTGGTAGGGCCGTTTGTACATTTCTTTGGCCAAATTTAACATTTAGTGATGTATTGTTAGGCAACACCGTTCTCGATTCTGAACGATTTTGAAAACAAAGGGACGAAAATTATTATGACCAACAACTAGCAATATTATAAAAATATTCTATAACTCTTTTGTTATAAAGTTTCATTTTTTTTTTTCAATTTTGTAGTATCTATTATCAGTAATATCTGTAATTTCGATAATTTTTGCAGCACGTTGCCTTGAATGTCCGAATATAGTGAGCAAATAATTACATACATCGCCGGATATGTAGTACGAGTAATAAAAAAAAATATATAATGGAAAGAATTAACAGTGCGCTGTCTTTACAAAAACCTGGAGTTAGTCATATGTATGAGTTCGTTGCTTTCGAGGACGAAAGTGGTCTAGTTTATTCCACCTAAGATGCTATCCAAATATGCAGTGGCAGATTTAGAAATCCGAGAAATAATAAATAAATCATAAAAATTACACTCGAGGCCGTCATTAAGTAAACCTCCTCTGATTAATAAGATTTTACCATATTTTGTCAGCAGTAACATTTTCATTTGTCTTGCTATTCATCTGTTTGATCAAGTACCAACAGAAAACCATCTAGTGAAATTAATTAGGGCAGTCACAAGTTCATATATTGTCGTGCGTATTCAATAATTAAGTTAATCGATAAGATCTTCTATTACAAAAAGACGTAATATAATTAAGCCCATTTTATTGGAAGGACAATAATTTCAATATTTGAAGTCGATTAAAAATTAAAGACTAAATTTTTTTAAGTAATCACCATTTTTTTAAAACAAGTAAAATAAAGGACTTAACTATCTTATTCTAGTATTTTTCTACTATATTATTATTACGACTACTTGTAATCAACAAATACTTGAACAAAAATTATTATATTTAGAATCGATTAATTGAATGGAATACGCGTGTTTACGCGTATTCCGTTCATTCAATCGATTTAGAGCGAGTGGAAGGAGGTTTCCATCACTAAATAGCTCTTGTGACGTTATAGTGGGTACAAAAAATGTGGCACGCTTAGTTTTCATACAAATTGCTGTACTTGCGGCGTCTATCTAGATATATGTCTGTGGCTGTATAATACCTTTACATAAGAAAGATGAGAGGGACGATGTAAATAACTACATACCGATAAGTACTGTCTATTGTATAAAAAAAATTTGAATCGATTTTGAACATAAAAGTAACATCATTTTTAGAGGTAAATAAATTGCTTGTAGACTGCCATATTGGCTTTAGGACAGGAAGATCCACACTTGCGATCAGAAAAGTCGTATACTTCATACTAGAATCCCTAGATAGATCCCAAAAGTGTAGCAGTATTTTTTGTGATTTGTGAAAGGCTGCCTACGACATAACTTTCTCATAAAAAAAAAACTAGAACACTACGGCTTCAAAAATAAAGAACTAAATTTAATTAAGTCCTATCTTTCAAATAGAACTCAATTTGTAATGGTGGAAAGCATATTTTCTAACCTTAGAAAAATAGACATAGGAGTATCGCAAGGACCAGAATTAGGACCTTTGCTTTCCTCATCTATATTAACGACTTGTCGAATGTAAATCTATTCGCAGATGATACATATGTAAAAACAAACTGTTGTTATGGACAGCCTTAATGGTTTACCGCAAACGGCAATCCTACTCCTTACTAAGAAAAAACCATTACTATAGAATACAAAATAAAGAAGAAATAACAATGTTATTAGACCTAATTTCCTTTAGTTTTTTCCATCCTCTAAGGATCATTCTTGACATTCTTGGGATGTATTATTCAGGACACATTGAATCATTATCACATTGACAAGATATGTAAAAAACCAAAGCAAATTATGTCGGCTGCGGACCCATTAAACTTAAACAACTATCGTGTCTCATCTGCTAGAGAGTACTTTGTTAAATGTAGAATAATGACTGCTCTTTAATTTTTTTCATATATGTACAGATAATTGTTAGAGATATAAGAAATAAAAATTGATATGCATGCATATAATACCAGAAGTAAACAAACTAGTAACAAATAAAACCAGATTAGTAAAAAAACGTTAAACATGGCCTAAATATAAAAATTTATATGTACAATAAACTACCAATAATTAGTGTATCTGACTTCGAAATGACTGCATTCAAGCAAACACTAGAACTTTCCTTTGAAAATCACGCTTTTTATAAAAATCAACGTATTTATGGATTCAAATATAAATTACCTACAATTAATTTTCTTTAAAAAATCATGATATTAAGATTCTGTACTATTACGTAGAGAGTTTAGATCTATACAGATGCGTATACACGCAGCCTAAATTAAGTCTGTATTTTCCTTAGAGGATGGAAAAAAAATAAAGGAAAGGAGCTGCCCTAACTACAGAATGAACGTGCATATCTAAACAAAAACTGAACCCTACCCTTGTTTTTTTTTTCTTTAGTTTATTGTAATCAAATTATGATTAAAACGTATGAAAAAATCGGAAACGAGTGTATAATTTTGTTTTCGAGAACTGAGAATGCCTTGTAAATGAGTCTTGTTGAATCTAAATTAAATATAAAATTATTTACTAATAACTCTAATGATGGAATTGCATTATCATGTAATCTGTCTCAATGTTTTTATTTATATTTACACAATATAAATATTTATTTAAATCATCATTAAGAAAGTGACGAAAATGTCACTACCATGTCAAAGTGTGCAAAGTCCATTTACAATGATACAAATTAAAATTAAATATATTTATTTATCTGTAATAAATAAACTAATCTATATTATTTATTATTAGAATAAACTTCTAAAAAGGACTAAATAATTACAACATAAATAAAATAATGGATTAAAAATATTTCATAACGTTTGTTGAAAAAATGTTGGGAAGAGATAGACGTAAGAAAAAGGAGCAATCAGTAAAGAAATATAAAAGTAGGGTCAAGAGCACGTCAAACTTGACACTTAAAACTTCAATCCAACTCTATGCCGCTTAGGATCAGAATAGTCCAAAGTACAAAGTGGCAAGCTTGACGTGCTCTTGACTGTACGTTACAGAAAGCGAAAAGGAGAAAAGGATAAGTATTATCTATTGATCAAATGTCAGAAAGAAAACAGAGAAAGGAATGGCGTAAGAGGCTAAAAATTCGCAGAGATAATAGAACATGCAGGGAAAGACTTTCAATCTGTCTGCGTGATGATTCACCGCCTTCATGCGACATCGAAAATCAACCGATGAACCGATTCCACACCTTCCTTCTATTTCAAACATCTCCTTCTGTCCCAAGCATACGATCTTATTCTGTTTCAAGATGTCTTTCATCATCCAGATACTCATCTCCATCACTATTGGTAAATTACTTGCTTAAGAGTCTTGATTCACAAAGTGACAGTAGGTAGTACAACATACCCAAAGATGATTGGATTGAAGATCTCAAAAAGTAATCGCCACCACCATTATTGAAATAGTGGTGAAATTAGCCGTATAGAATTGAGACGTTTCCGTTCTAAAAAATCGTCCTTAAACTTTTTTACAAATACGACTTAGACCAGAGGCGTCCCCTGATAGGATGGGACAGCAGTCGATCTTTCAGCAACCCTATATGCAAGCACACACTGACGGCAATTATGTCGCGGTATCCTTAAACATGCCACGGTATCCTTAGGCATACCGGGGCATCTTAGGTGTGCTGAAGCGTACCGTCGCTACATCGTTGCGTGACGTGTATTGAATGCTATAGTTGCATGGAGTCAAGTTAACGGTGACCAATGGCGACGTGGAGCGTGTGTCCTGAAATCTATCGATGTATTCTTAAGGCTGCCGAGGCATTCATACGGCTGCCGAAGATCCATAAGGCTGCCGAGGCGTCTCTAAAACTGGCAAGGCATCCCTATGGTTGCCGACACATCTGTAAGGCTGCTGAAGCATTCCGGAGGCTGAAGGCTCAGCATGTCTGAGTATACCGCAGTTTCATTTTGCAGCTATGATTATTGTCACTAAAATTGCAACTATAAAGTCATAATCTTAAGGTACATTACTATTCGTCACCTAAAAATCCCTTGCCGTCCCGTCTTGTCAGTGGACACTGGGACTAACTTTGTTATGTAGAGGACTTTCTTTTATAATTAAAACGGCTTAATTTTGATAAGGTAATAACATCTTGCTTAGCTGGTGAAAATGAAGAGGCTTACTTTTTTATTACGTCAAAGGACAACAAAAAGTTCAGTAAATAGTGACCTTCTAGTAATTTAAATATTAATAATTTAAATAAATTACATTTTATTTAAATTGTTAGACTATTTTTCATGGTATAAAGCTGAATATTTCATCATTATTTTATCATGGACCACGATAGACTAACAAGGCCATTGCCTTTTGTACTCCAAGAGTAAAAATTAGATGATATGAAAATGTCACGACATCATAACTTAAAAAATGTAAAAATGTTGTGTTGACCACTTTCATTCTAAAAGTGCGAAGTGTTAAGTAAATAATATTGATTATAAAAACTATTATTGGACATACTACCCATTTGGCCGATATTAAAAACTGAATAGAAGACTGTGTTAGTGTTCCAAAAAAAAATATTTTAATAATATAGAATTTACATAATTGAATATGCCTAATACTTTAAAAAGCCTAAAATTTAATCAATATGTAAGTGATTACGTAAATAAAGATAATGAAGTAAAAAATACGTTTTATTCTACAGTAAAACATGCTTCATTAAAATTAATTTAATATGTCACTACCTTGGACTTGTGTCACTTCCGTGGAGGTGTGTTTTCTTTTTTTCATGAAAACGACAGTGATAATAGCTAGGTTCTTAAGTGAAACATATTGTAGTATATGGTATCTTTCATTTGAGACCACTTTGAATCATATCAAAAAACATTGCTTTTTTAATTATTTCAAGTCCGTTTTTGAGGATGGTCCATGTACGCTCACAAGAACAACACTATCACAAAACAATAATTAACAACAATCATCAAAATATACAATCAAGTAGGCAATCTGAAGTAATCAAATCAAAATTTGGCAAGATTTATGAATAAACATTACATGAGATATTTGGGCTATTGTGTGATTTGTAGAAAAATAACCATGCCTGTTGGTGTTCTAGCTCTTGTTCGGTGGACTGTATTGTTCAGGTTCT